GCTTTACCGATGAGCTCCCCGAGACGAGGACCATCCGGGAGTCCGACTACGGCTCGTTTACCGTGCACTCAAAACCCAGCACAGTAGATGCCTACAGGACGAGCAAAGAGCAGTGAGTGCTACCCACAGGAAAGTCCGCAGCACTTGGGACGATGGAGATCACCAGGAGACCGGCAGCCTGGTCCTGGAGCCCCTCTCAATAAATGGGAATCCACCACAATGAATCTTTTCATGGTTTCACTGTCCTGACCTCCATGGTCACATTCGGAGGTGGCGGAAGAGAAGGAGGAGTGGCAAACCTTAGTCAAATGTAAATGAGGGAGCTGTATGTTCACTTCCAAATAAATATGTTTGTTAAATGTCTTAAGATTTCCAGTCACTAACAGATCCGTAGCTGCATGGAACATTGATATTGGGAATCTACATTTCAGGTGCAATCCTAGAAGCAGAACTTCTTTGCCTCCTAAAGCGGATGAGGTTCTTCTCAGCAGGTGCTTTCCCGTCTGAGGGCAGCCTCCTACAGGGAGCCGGGAGGGGGTAGTGGTGGCTGGAGTCCAGAGGGGGTCTGTGCTCCGGAGGGAAGAAGGGAGAGGACCTAGCACCATGAAGGAGGCACCGGCGCAGCTCTGGAAGAGAAGCCGTCTCTCGGTCCAACTGCGCCGGGCAACTTCTGCCCAGTTTCCAATCTCCCCTTTCTGGAGAAGACGGTGGGGCGCCTGCTACGGAGAATCCTGGACAAAGCAAGTTGTTTTGATCCCTTTTAGTCAGACCCAAGCATAGGATGGGAACTGCAATGCTTGCTCTTGTCAAGACCAGGTGGAGGGATCACACCCTTCCTGGTCCTATTAGTGGCCTTTGATCCTATGAACCAAGGGATCGTTCCGGATCTCCCGCGCGGCTGGGGGCTAGCAGCAGCAGCAGCACCATTTTACGGTGATTGCACTCCTTTGAGAAGGGGGGGTCACTCAATGCCGACGGGGACTGAACGTTTGAGCCTTTAGCCGCCTCTCTGTGGATTCTTTGCCACTGAGCATTTAGAGCTTAAAAGGTACCGTTATTTGTCATGTTTTGGCTTTGAGTCGATTTTATGGTTTACGTGTTTGGGTCTATAACCGGCTGCTGGGGAAGGTAATTTTATTACTTTTGTGGGCTGGGCAGGATATAACGCAGAATAAATAACGTCCGGCTAAGGGTTTGGGGCACGGCTGACGGCCACTATACCTGAGGGGTTTGACCGCAGGAGAACGAGCCTTAACTGTGACAGCCTCTAAAGCTGCTGAAACGTTGGCCTGGCTCCTGGTTCCCCCCCCTCAAATACTCCTAATTACCTGTCACCACAACAATCGCATAGTCTTCCCCGGCTTGTTCATCCTCCCTTCCCCTTCCTCTGTTGTTTTGTACATAAAAAACCCCCTCGATTATTTGTAAGGTCCAGAGTGCCGGTTAACTGATCATCCTCACAAGCCCATTCCCTAAATCCGCACGCGTGGGCGTTGCCAGACAGAACTGACACGACCCCAACCCGCACAAACAGGCTGAAATCACACCCCAAAAAGGGCCCGGGGATTGGGGCTCCCTGGACCCGGAGGCCAAGGGCGGAGGCGCAGGGGAACAGCCCGCCCTGCTTTCCGGAGCGCTTCGAAAGGCGCCGGGGCTTCAGGGCGCGGCAAGCGGGGATGCCGACTCGTCTGCCTCGGCCTTGGCAGCCTGAAGGTGGGTGGGCTTCAGCTCCCAGGATTCCCCAGCAGCAACTCCACCGCCACCCAACCGCTGCATAAAACGACGCTGCAAACTGGGGACGTCGTTTGATCTACTCTTGTTAACGTACATCCCACCTTTCCTCCAGGAGCCCAAGGTGGTGCGCCTTTTCTTAAGGGTTGCAATTGCATTTCAATGCACATGCCCATGCCCATGCCCATGCCCATGCC